AAAGGAGGCACCATGGCAGAGATACTGCCGCGTTGTCCAAACCTAGACAGGAGCAGTCGAGAGGCAGAACCGGGACCCTCCATCAGCAGGTTCGCGATGAGCTATCTCGAGCTACTGACGGCACATGGTTAGTTAATTTTTGAGTTTGCGTTCAAACATGTGTGAGATTATTATGACAGTGGAAATTCGTGGCCTGCTGAGCATCGTCAAAACCCACCACTTACAATGTCGTTTGAGTATCTTGTACATCACGACACACCAATTGAATGAATCCTCAAAAATGCCAGTGAGTGACAGTGGCTTAGTCGCGTTCAGAAAAGTAGTGATGCAATACACCTGGTGAAGCACTGATTTACGTACGAGGTAGTTGACCAAAAGTCTGTCACAGGAGGGAATAAAAGCACCTGGAACAAGCACATATAATATGGTGAGTATCTAATCTTTGTTGGGCAACTTACAGTCAGTCACGCTGAAGTAATAAACAATGAGGCAATAAATGGCGTGACGATGATAACTGAGCTTATACGGATAACGCGCAGCTACGGGGGAACCATTGTTCAACATGGACACATTCTAACTAAAACTAAACGGTAGAAACGAAGCAGGATTTAGTTAGTCTATTTCGAAATGTCTCAAAAACTCAAATCTTTCATTTCTGATAGAAAGAAGGAAGAACAACTGAGCTCAGATATGTGAGAAAACTGCTGAAGCTGGAGACTCGGTGGAAATTTGTTTGTGGTCAGCAGCATATTGACACTTTTCTAAATAATATTCTACACACAAATTGCCCCAAGATTTCATTACGAAGATATCCAATAAAGTTTATTTCGTGCTTGGAGACAAGTAGTAAGGGAAAGTTGCCCAAAATCTGCAGGAGCCCACTACCGGTTTCACCGTCTCTGGAACTGATCAAGTGGGTGGAGACCTCAGAACCTGAGGCAATCAATCTTGGCAACACAGATGAGACCTGAAGTAGAAATTCGACCGCATTGCTGCCCAGTCCAGAGATTGATTACCTCACCTTCCGGAGGCTAGGTTCAACTGATGGGCCCAGAACAGAACGAAAGCGGTAATACGCCGCCTATATATTTTGAAAACTCGTGCCTTACTATATATTTTAAAGAATAAGAACTTTTTCGTACGTTCAATCCCTCTTCTGTATACCAAATGCAACACTCTTTACTGCATCTGAAATAGTCAGATTCCATCCTGAGGGAGGGGGCATTCTATCGAGCGTCCAAATCGCTGAGGGAGATTGCGAGAAACCAATGAACCAAAAGACAGTAAAAATCCGAGATTCCACACCTTTCACTACTGGACAGTACTTGGAAAAAAAGTAGAATGTCTTTCTGATTGCCCTCCGTGACATCCGGAAATTCCAGGAGCATGTTGAACCTTATCTGTCCAAACTTCCTTACGCTTCACTATCCACAAGTACATTTGCCCATGGTAGCGTCATTTTTTCGGTGGTTCGTATGAATGTATCTCTTAAGTTTTTTTTCACAAGAAAGACAATGGTTCTCTGTTCTGTCTTCGCCGGTAATCCATCGATGTTGTTTACAAGTGATTGACTGTTGAGTTGAAGATAGTGCGGGGTATTGGGGCAGTTCAGGTCCTGCCAACATGATGCGGTTTTTCCCGTCAACTTCGATTGATCTGACGGGATGCTTTTCTTAGATTACATAAAAGTTAACCACAGAAAAAAACACCAAAGCATAACATTTATTTTCCACCAAAGGCAACCACCTTGATGGGTTGGTCGATTTCGAGTATGGCAATGAGGCAAAGGGCCACTCTACTTCGACCCCCAGGGTTAAGCATGTTGGTAAGAACAAAGGGTGGGGAAAGGAAAACGAACATTCAACCAATGAACTACGAGTCTCTGGATGATTTTCGAGTGAATTGTGGCTGTCGGCTGAGAAAGAAGTGTAGAAGTAATAATGAGTCCCTTCCTATAAACCAGCATTAAGAGAGGCGCTGCCTTCTGAAAAAAAGGCAGAAAATGTCTACCCTAAGACGAACACACTTGGATTAGCCAAGGTTGACCATCGGTAGATTATTCAGTGCGGTTGAAAACCAGGAGTTCGGTTTCTTCTGTGAGCGCTAATGGTAGGCAGGCATTCATACATTATTCTCTGTGCCCTTGGGATGGGCAACTCTACCAACTATCTAGTGGGTCAGGTCTTGAGCCGCTGACCACAAGTGTAGTCTCCAGGTTTAACCTCCTTCTGAAGCATAAGCCACTAAGATTTATCTTTGTTTGACAACTACAGCGAAGACTTCCATCCAATCGATTCTACGTAATACTCTCTCCTACACATTCCCACGATACTGTGCAACCTAGATTCACACATATCGGTGACCTAAGGTGCACCGGTCAACAAGCTGTCCCAGCATCTTCCCACACATGGATCGTGATGCATATTGCGCTCTAACAACTCATACATAACTCACACACGTACTTAGAGATTGGCGTGACCACCTGAGCCTCCTGGCATAATATATCTGGAGTCTGGTTCGTTCTTAATAAGGCTGAATATATTGATTGAGCGCATTTTCGTAAAAAAAAATCAGCCATCCACCGTTAGGTTACTTCTTGAGACCAAAATAACCCGACACGAACCCAGTGAACGCGCATTAAGTATCACGCCGGTTTCTGCTTTGAAACGGTAGTTCAGAATAATACAAAGATACTTTCGATGGTGCCCATCAAACCATATACACCAAACAACAAGTCACTGTGTTGTAACTCTGTCTGGAGACAGAAGAGAAGTGACTGGGTGCAACATTCACTTTACATGCAAGACGCAGGGACTACGTGTTTATCAGAGCCTTTACTTAGCTAGCACCGCGTTCCAACATGAAGCATGCCATTGTGTCACTGCCATTGTGTCATTGACCGAACCAACTTTGGGCACGAATAGATTCGGCCATAATTCGCTAAGAATGAAGAAACAGCACAAAAGATTGATATTGGTTTGATAGCAGCCACCCACGTTCAACTGACACTACTGCGAAGGCCCTGTTCCCATTCACCTTTGAAAACATTTGTCCACAATTATTGATTACAATCAGTGAGCCGATGAATGAATACTATCAAGAACCACTCGCTTTATGTTCCTTACGAAGAGAGCAACACTCAAACGTACACGAGCTTTGGAATCAAATCCTAATGGTAAAGTGGATTGAGCACGAAAGAGGTGTTACAAGAAGGAATGCCGATCCACTTCATCTGACTCACTATACGACACAAGACTAAAAGAGTCGAAGTAAACCTAGAGAACAGTCTACGAGTGGACCGTGGGTACTGTAAACGAACACGAGAAATGGAGGAGAATGGGTCTACATACAGTCACTCTCCCCTCCTTCAAGTTCGATATTTCTCCAGTCGAGAATTGAACAGTAACGAGGTTATAGGCGAAAAGGACATTAAATTAATCCACAGTCTGTCTCATCATCCTGATGAAGCAGCGCAACATCCAAAAGGACAGTTCAACTGATCACAATCTGATGTCCATCTTGAGCGTGCAGGCCCCATGTTTCATGAAGTCAGCTCAAACTACTCGACTGCAGTCTGAAAGTGTTTTCGAACAGGAGCGGTTTGAACAAAGCGATTTGTCGCACCCATATACATTTCCGCATGCCCTCATCAAAAGCTGGACTGAAACCCTTGTCCCTGTCCTCACAGGCCTCCTGCAACGTAAGTGAAAAAGTGCCGTAGACCGTCAACCGTTGTTGATCAACCGTTGTTGTCAACCGTTGTTGCTGATCAACAACCAATAAACTCACCCGAGCTACCAATATTTCACCACATTACCAACCGTCAACCGTATTTCCAAAATTTGCACGAGGGACAGAAAACTTAGCATTTCGTCCCATTTGCCGACGGGTATTAGTTCGCGTCGAGTGACGACAATAAGAGAAGCTATAACCGTAAAAGAACAGACAGATGCTCACTCCGCTCAAAACCGTATCGAGCGTTCGTTCATGCTGCGAGAGATTTTGGGGATCTGGTACGTGTACCGGCAGCCCTTAATTTCAGTATTCCTAGATGTGAAAGTCACTTTGGGTAGAGTTACCCTAAAAAACAGATTGCACCGGGTGGTGCCAAATAAGCAAGTTGACACTGTGTGGGAATTCAGAGAGCGAAGCGAGAGTATACAAACAACTGCCTTCAAATATCTCGGTATCACGTGGAATCCGCCAGTGCCACCCGATCTCTGACTTTGTGGTTCACAATTTAGTGGATAGTTCGAAATCAGTGGTAGCAGAGCGTCGTGCAGTGGCACACCAGCTGACATTAAATAGACCGGTAGTATGCTCCCTATTAGATTCCCAACCCGTTAAATCTCAACAAACTTGAATCTTAGTAGTTTAAGATGTTGGGATTTTTCAGTTGAAATTTTCTTCTGAAATTGAAGGCGATAAAAGCCTGAAAAGCCAAGAAGCACTGCATAACTGCTTCATGCTTATTGAAGATCCAGACAGTTTCGAAACCACGACGTCCTGGCTGGCGGTTTGAACGCTTAATTGTTCGGTATGTGGCGGCTAATCAATAGTGTGAATAACACGCAAATAGGATTAAGCACAAAGGTTAGGATACTGCAAAGCTGTCCACATCTAGACAGGAGTACTCGAGAATCCAGTTGAGTTTAAACCATCTCACAACCATCAGCTCGCGCCTTCACTATTGACTTAGTTTTAACTCTTCTGTGAGTATTAACCGCGGCTGTTTGTGTATAGTCGGATGGTGAACGTACGTATTTTTCTGCAGGTCATCAGCTTCTGGTGGTCAGTAGTGGCACCGGTAGCAGAATGGCTGGCCTATCTGCAGAAAATTTGCTTTGCAGAAAACAATAAAACTAGATGAATCTTATAAATTACAGGTCAATTACAGTGGGGTCAGTCATAGCGGCCTACAAAAAGTGACATCATCGGCTGTGACACAATGACAATTTAAGACCTTGTGGAACTGTATCATACAGGTAGCGCGCAGTTACCTGGGGACCGTCAGACGGATACTCCAACTTCAGTACAAATTTCCCTTCGCGATCGTGTTTGCTCCAGTTAAGTTGGACGAGCAGCGGATATTCGTCATTCGTTAGCCGTCGGACTCGAGAGGGAGTAAAAAAAGAGAAAAACTTACGAAAGCAAAACAAGCACACGAGAGCGAACGAAAAAACTACGATTTTGGTGCCAACTACGTTAAAAAACAAAGCAACATAGATTCCGCACTTGCACCGTCATTTTCAAAACAACCCAAAAAGGACAAAAGTATGCTAGAATTTCAGCGGCAAAACTGGAAAATATAACCTTCGACAGCTAACAAAATCGATGCTGGTTTGTCTGTCATGAATCCGGTGACGTAAAGTTCAAATAGCATTTCCCTGTGCAGAAAGAGGCCGCGCATCACGGTGCGACCCAAGTGGAGTTTGAAAGGCTATATGAGTAAGTAGATGGGCGCAGACGCGTCAGTCGACGGGAAGATTGTAATGGTGGGACGGAATAGGCGAGTTTGGTGGATAGCTTGCCAGGATAGTAGCGACAAAACAGCGAGAGGAAGGGTACATCCCGAAGGTGGGTATAGAGCGGAACGGGTCAGTGAGATGCAATAACTTCAACCTAAAGCTATCTAGGGGTGTAAGATGTGTACATGGGGCATCAGCGGAAAAATGGCGGCAGTATTCAAAAATGGGACGGATCTCCAATATACACGCGGGAATTTAGAAGGGGCGGCAAATACATAAAACGGGGAGCGAGAAACCAACATTTTTTGAGACTCGAGTGGCAAATGTCTTCACACATGGGATCCAACTGAGGCTGCTCTAAAAGAAGAAACTAGGGAGCTATCAGTTGGACGATTGAGGTATACGGATGGGTTCGATAAGAAAGATGGAGAATGGTGTAGAATGAGTATGGAACAAATTATGGGGCATAACATCCAGACCAAAAGACTTTGGTGTGTTTAGTAACAGTGGCACTGGGTAACATCTCTGTTCGCAACAGTAGGTGATGGAGCTTCAGGGTAGACCGAGATGGTGGTCCTGGGAGTGGCGGTGGGATCTGAGACAAGAGATAGGACGAGGAATAAATTTGCTCAGTGGTTGAAAACACTCATGAGTAATGGGATAAGACTGTTGGTCCATTCGAGATGGAGAGATTTTGAAGATCGGAGGCGAAGAACTATCGTCGTATCCCCAAACACCAAAAAGCACTGGGGGACAGTGGATGTTGAATGGGAAGAAGCGGCAACATAGGGGCCAGAAGAGGATTTAATTGGATATGACGGATGAATAGTTAGGATAAATTCGGACATCCGCGATGAATTTCCGTCGCTCGTAACAGGAGATGGACACTAAGATAGTTTGTGACAGAAACATCTATCCCCCAAAACCCTGCTGTCTCTATGTGCAATAAGCAAGTGGTGTGTGTTGTATACACAGAACTCACTGAAGACATGAAAATCGGCAATGAGATGGGATTGACATTCAGCAGGGGAAAAAGTCCAGTTCAATGACCAATACGCAACGCAACTTTTTTTCACTAGCCAGAACAGTAATTTTAGGCTGATGATTTTGAAATTCAGATGAACAGTAGTTGATAAAGACTGGTGCAATGACAGAGGTGGAAATGAGTGCGGATACAAACCCCAGCCTTAACACGGAGGCAATAGTATAAGAAGGTGGGCAGTTATTGTTGCAGAAAAGCTTTTTTTCCGCCGGGCAGATAGGCGTACTGTGAGACCTGATGGGCTGAATTAACGTCAATGTTCAAACCACAGGTATTATAGAGAGATCAGTGAAAGCTCATTCAGTTGTATTTAAACACATGTTATTGGAAGGAACCGGCATCTTAATTCAAGGGCTTGAAGACGTGAGGCACATACGGCTCCTTTAGATCGGCTGGTGGACGCAAAGGTAACTTGCATTGGATTCGCCACTGCCTAGTGAGACAGTTCGGTTATTAGAGCGCGATTTATTGGACGAAAAAATCGTGGTTCGCACCCGACCCCTACATCTAGACTTCCCCTGCCTAGACTTGGGCAGCCTCCCAGCTTTCGTGTATCCTTCGCATGGCATGGCAGTTAAGGACCAGAAGGGTGTTACAGCTGAACGATTATTATTATTAATATTCACTGTCTAAGAAACCGAACGCTTTGGGGGCGTGTCCAAGGTAGTTTGAACCCCAGGTCCGCAGTCATTAGCAGCGTACGTCAAGGATCGGTGGTTGGCCCCAAATTATTCCACACTTGTGCAAATGAACTCCCAAGAATAGTAGGGGAGCTTCAAACAGCACTGGACTTGATTTCCTCGATGCCTCATACAAACAATCACGATAAATTCTGTATGGGAATTTACATCCTCATAGAGTGTGCCGAATAGGGAGATCCTTACTTCGTGAGATTTCCTCGGTGAGAAGAAAATGTGCATTTAGAAAAAAGAGGCTGAGTCGCTGCGGCTACTACAAGACAAGGAGCCCTGTGGGATTTTGATTTTCTCCTGACGTTTTCGTATTGCCGTTCTCCCTTGACACACACGCAGACTACTGAAATGTGATCGAACTGTGAAAACGCTGGTGCAGAACCCTGAGCGGTCGAGACTACGAAAATTACCTCACCCTCTGTCAGCTAAGTATCATTGCAATAAGACGCCACGGAAGGCGAAACGGCGCACAACTACCACTTGCCCACAGGCCTGTCCAGAACTGCATCTCTGGCATATTCGAACTCCAAAGAGAACCGAACCCCTACACTCTCCCTCAAGAATTCGGACGACTATCTCAGTATCCCACCAAAACACGAGACTCACGCCATTGCCATGTTCATACAGCCGTGCTAAATCCTCACGACGGCACCGATGACCACCTAAAATCTAAGCCCAATGTGTCTGATGGATTTGAAATGATCACGACTTTCTATATCGAAATACCAAAACTCTGCAACTCGGACGGCTTCCCTGATCCGGACTGAACTGAAGAATGTGTCGGTCTGTTAGCCCTCCATGCAAGCTTCTGTCTAATTTCTCCCCAGGTCTTTGTCCCTTCCATGGTAATCACAATGAACTAATTAAAGAGCTTCCTAATAACCTCACGCGCATCCTGTACAAAATAATCGGAAAGTCGTCAAAAACTGTCTAATTACCTACTCCTCAACATAGCTTACTCTCCTCCAGACGCTCCCTTAAAATCCCCACTTGCCCCTAATCTCAGGACAGCTGCTGAGAACAACGCTAGTACCAAGTGCGTTTCCTTTCGTGTCTCCTGTGCTTTCAATAAAATCCCCATAAGTAGTCCATCAGTGGGAACACTTAGGAGTCGGGGGGTTAGTCTTAACTAATCCTCCCAAGTATGTGGGTGGCTTAATTTCATATCATCGCCCGAGTGTGAAGCGCTACCACAAACTGAAGCGGCACAGAAATTCCCAGGATTTACAGAAAGTCATGAATATCTGCACATTCTTGGGCAAAACAATTCACTGTCTAAGAAACCGAACGCTTTGGGGGCGTGTCCAAGGTAGTTTGAACCCCAGGTCCGCAGTCATTAGCAGCGTACGTCAAGGATCGGTGGTTGGCCCCAAATTATTCCACACTTGTGCAAATGAACTCCCAAGAATAGTAGGGGAGCTTCAAACAGCACTGGACTTGATTTCCTCGATGCCTCATACAAACAATCACGATAAATTCTGTATGGGAATTTACATCCTCATAGAGTGTGCCGAATAGGGAGATCCTTACTTCGTGAGATTTCCTCGGTGAGAAGAAAATGTGCATTTAGAAAAAAGAGGCTGAGTCGCTGCGGCTACTACAAGACAAGGAGCCCTGTGGGATTTTGATTTTCTCCTGACGTTTTCGTATTGCCGTTCTCCCTTGACACACACGCAGACTACTGAAATGTGATCGAACTGTGAAAACGCTGGTGCAGAACCCTGAGCGGTCGAGACTACGAAAATTACCTCACCCTCTGTCAGCTAAGTATCATTGCAATAAGACGCCACGGAAGGCGAAACGGCGCACAACTACCACTTGCCCACAGGCCTGTCCAGAACTGCATCTCTGGCATATTCGAACTCCAAAGAGAACCGAACCCCTACACTCTCCCTCAAGAATTCGGACGACTATCTCAGTATCCCACCAAAACACGAGACTCACGCCATTGCCATGTTCATACAGCCGTGCTAAATCCTCACGACGGCACCGATGACCACCTAAAATCTAAGCCCAATGTGTCTGATGGATTTGAAATGATCACGACTTTCTATATCGAAATACCAAAACTCTGCAACTCGGACGGCTTCCCTGATCCGGACTGAACTGAAGAATGTGTCGGTCTGTTAGCCCTCCATGCAAGCTTCTGTCTAATTTCTCCCCAGGTCTTTGTCCCTTCCATGGTAATCACAATGAACTAATTAAAGAGCTTCCTAATAACCTCACGCGCATCCTGTACAAAATAATCGGAAAGTCGTCAAAAACTGTCTAATTACCTACTCCTCAACATAGCTTACTCTCCTCCAGACGCTCCCTTAAAATCCCCACTTGCCCCTAATCTCAGGACAGCTGCTGAGAACAACGCTAGTACCAAGTGCGTTTCCTTTCGTGTCTCCTGTGCTTTCAATAAAATCCCCATAAGTAGTCCATCAGTGGGAACACTTAGGAGTCGGGGGGTTAGTCTTAACTAATCCTCCCAAGTATGTGGGTGGCTTAATTTCATATCATCGCCCGAGTGTGAAGCGCTACCACAAACTGAAGCGGCACAGAAATTCCCAGGATTTACAGAAAGTCATGAATATCTGCACATTCTTGGGCAAAACAAACCGACAAAATACATATAAACCATCTATACGTTCACTCAAAACACACCCTTATTTCCTCTTGACTGCAGAAGACGATACCATTCTTGTCCCTATGGTTCCTCATCACAGGGGTTCCAGAGTCTGGATCCCTCCTTATCTCTCACGCTTTAACATGGTCCTTCACTCTTTCAAGGTGATCCTCTGTGGATACAGATGAGTCCAACTCACTCATCATGTATTCGTCCTGTCCGAATCCTTAGGGAATGCTGCAGCGCTATATTGTTCTCTAGCTAAAACGCAATGTTAACACACTCGAAAATGTACAGCACAAGGCTACGGGGAATGTCACTGAGCTCCAAAATCCCTCTAACGCCCAAAACAGTTTCCTGTGTAACATTCACAGCATCGATTGTCGCCTGTACAGCAACAACCTCTCCTACTCCAGGAACCATGACCAAGTTTCTAACGATCCCCACATCTGAGGTCACTATTTGCGATTTTTCCAACGTAGGTATACTAGTCGTATTGAGAGGGACTTTCTACTCCATTGTTCTGCCCTGGGATAAACTCCAAGATGGGACGATCCACATCCTCTTCATTCGTGTCTCTGAGCGTGATATAAGCCGCCTTTTCTCCAAATTTCACTCCTGCAGCACTACTTACACTACCGCCCATCCGTTGTCCACAGTACTTCTTGCAACCCGTCATGTTAATCGACATGGGAAACAGCGAACTAAAAATCATGGAATTTCCATTTAATGTTAGAAGTACATAGTTTATTTCCGTACTGTACCTCGTCTGGATACTCCCTTCCAAATAATCGTCTTTTTTCTATAGACCACACGGCTTTCTATTGATGTTGGTAATGTGTTGGAATTGATGTCGCAAGCATAAATACCGTTAGCCCTGTTAATATTCGCCATCGAAAGTGGTGAGGCCAAGCTCGTTTACTTTTTAGATAAGCAACTCAATAACCTACCGAACTGGTCTTATGACCATCGGGCTTCTTGCCTTGTAGAGGCCTACGTACTGAAACAACTGCAGTGCGTGGGACATCAAAAGAAACAAGCTAAATGATGCTGCCAACATTTCGTGAATCCTACGGCTCCTAATAGTCGGGGTGTATCGTCGTTAGAAGTTGGAAATAAAATTAGCAAAGCAAACTCACCTCCGTTTGCACAATGCTCGTAAATGCCTAATCGCTTGATTCTACCACTGGATTCAAGAGGAAAGAATTTTTCCCGTAATATATCCACTAAGTCTGAGGTCTTTTGGGCGCTAGAAACACGAATACATTTCGACTGATATCTTCTAGACTCGTCTTGGTAAAAAAATCGCATAACACCGTTGAATTCGCCGTTCTGTAAAAGAGTGAGTTCGGTAAAATGAGCATGATACTTCATCAGGAATAGACAGCTCGAACAAATCAAGTCTGCTAGCATTCCATTCCACGATTTGTTCAATAAGCTGTTTGCGTCGGCTTCGGATATCCATATCATTTCAAAATAGTTTCCGCGATGCAACAACAGGAGAAAAACGTCACAGTGACAGAAAGGCCAAGGAGCGAAATCAAAATCTGTCGACCTATTCAAGGACGTCGATGGAGCGAATTGACACAACCCATTGGGTCCTGCGGGGCCAAACAGGAAGCAAAAAGCCCACACCTAAGTTCTAGTTATTGATTCACTTTACAGACTGCTGTTTCGTAGATACGACGAAATGGAAAGAAACTGGAGTGATGCAGTTCAGGGCTGCTGCTAGAAACTCTTTATATTCTCCATAATTAATGAGTCGCCCATATAGTGGTTGTGCATCAACTTCTTTCAAACTGAAAGATCCCAGAAAAAGAACCGTCATTTAAGTTCTCATAGTCAGGTATCGAGCTCTTAAATTATAGATTTCGTCGAAAAAACATCGGATAACTACTTGCACCGCGTCCCTTTTGCAGTGAAATTAGCGCCAGGAGTTTACAAGTGGAAGAACTATTACCTGATAGAGGCGTGCACTCTGAGCTTAAAAACTCTGTGTAACTTACCTACTGTCGTTATCGTCAACATTGAAAAATCTGTGGGCCAAACGGGCTTAAATAAGTGTAATTTTCCCTCGGAAGTAACAGCAGCCTGGAGGGTGGTGCCAAAGGTACTCGATGTGCATTTCAAAATCAAAAGATTTGAGGCGGACATCCATATTCCTAGAATCACGTTGGCCGTGGACCTTGAGAGCTACGTCCTTCTGGCTCTTCAGCAGTGAACTTACCTGGTGTTTATAAAACTCGTACTGACGTAGGCATTACAGTGTACCGGAGGTTCATTTGAATGATAAGTGGAAGGGCGCGCCAAGTAATCCGAGGGATGCCGAGCACATTGAGAAACTTTTTACTGTCAATTAAGAGAGAACTGCCTTAAAAGAGCCAGATAACCAAACCATTTTTGAAGTCTAGGGCCGTAGCAACTATCTGGCATTCTTGGCACGCACGATTATAAATGTTCGGCAGGTTCCCGGAGGAAGACGCAGTATAAACTCGCTCATTCTGAGGAAGGCGCCAGTGCAGTGACCGCTCATTTCCGGCGCCTACATCCATCTCGAGTGTGTTGACGGCGCAAATTGCAGGCATGAATTCGAGTGGCGTCCGAAAATTGGTTAAGGTAGATCAAAACAGCAGTGTTCCTTAGTGGCATCCTTGAGGCACTAAATGGAGATCGGCGCTGGAGGAGAGTGGATTGGGCTAAATTTCAGGAGGCATATTCATCTTCAAAAGAGGACATCAAAAGGTTCCGAGTTAGTGAAGGTTGGAACTTATAGAATTCGATCGGGTGAAATAGACGGATGGCAACAATATAACCTTCGTTACGGGTTCTTCGCCACTGGTCAGCATTTAGCTCTCCACGCACGCAGGAGCGTCACATAAGGATGAATATGAAGAACGCCATCTTCAGCCCGGGATATCAAGTACTTGACCATCTAGAACAGCCAAACCCAGAAGGCGCTGTACGACGTCCAACGATATGCCTTTGAGTCTAAGACCATAAGCTGCCAGGTGGTAAGCGATTTTACATTGGCGAGATAATCTTTTCCCCAAAACATAAAAGAGGTTGCCTTCGTCAAGCGACTTAAGAAACATCATATAAAATGATTTAACCAAGCCGACCGATATTTTATCCAGGGTCCTTTGATGCACTTCATCCCGTCCTAAGGCACTTAATGGAAGTCTTGCATAAGAGCTCACAAACATTCACTCCCGTAGTTAGGCTAGAGGTTATTCGTAGTTCTGCCTTGTCTAGTTCAATGGTATTATTGTTGGAGCACGATGCAGGCATCCATAGGTCACAGACACGACTGTATGATCACTCGTGGACTCTCTGTTTTCAACACGCAGAAAGGAGGCCTTTGGGTTGTTAACCTGGAAATGTCTTCTGCACTCAGCTAGCATATTCCGTTTTTTTCGAGTGACGCTTGGCAGCACAGCCTGCTTTTGTAAGTCACACTGGCGGATCTTCGTGTTCCTGCGGTTCAGCATTTCGCAAAAGGCTAAATAGTCCTGTGATTCACTTATGTTATCTTTTACAGGAATAGTGTGAACCTCACTTCAAGAAGACGATGAAACCACGATAGCCTGCTCATGCACAAGACAAACTCAAGCAAATTATTGGCTGGTTCGTGTCACGTGATGCATACACGAACATACGAGTGCACCAAACAAGTCTCACTGCTTAGAAAAGGGTTGCACCAAAAAATTCTCATGGCTCCGTGGACGAGTGGGATAAGCTTTGGTGCTGGGGGCGGCGTGTTGGCAGTTCGAATCTGGGGGCTACCACCCGGCTTCCTTTCAATCTCTCCCGATAAAACTTTTTAAACAGGACATTACAGCTTTATCTGGCGGTCATCCGGGGCTTAAACAATGTGATTGAGTGAGATGAAAGCAGTTCCGGGTGATAAAAGTCTTGGATAAGCAGCTAATGTTGAAGCGAGGATTCCCAAAACACACATGTCGATTTACTGCCAAGCTAAATGTGAGCTAAACTTATCAGCAACACGTTTTCTAGGCTATTCAGCGGCATGAGCTCCGGCACCTGACATACGGATGAGCGTCTTACCAATAATTTCCCAGAGTATTCAAAGCAAATAATAACCTTCAGGTTCGAAAAAGGGAACATGCAATAATACCAGACTATGGCTGGTGGCACGATGGTTTTGGAGATATAAATGTTCTGTATTTGAAGGAAATTTGGTGGCATATGTCAATCTTTCAACGTAGCTTTTCTCTAGTTAGGTGCAAAGCACTTTATCGTACATTCCGTGTAAAAAGCGCTCCGTGTACGGTCCAGTTTTCTGGTTATCTAGATTTTTCTGGCTGCCTTAAAGCTAGCGGGTGGACTGAGTTCCATATACTTCTATGGACTAGTTTTCATCTGTTGATAAAAGCCTTATATCATTGGCTTCGTATGGGCATCCCACTGAACCACCAAATCTATCAATGGCCGGAGAAATAGAAAGCAGCATTAACCCGATTTTTTGCATGATACCGCTTAAATAGCGTTATGTGTTACCAGGAATCTAAAAATGCATACGTTATGGCCTTTCTTGCAGGATTGTCAAGCTCGACAAGCTCGATTTAAGGCACAAAACAATTCCAGCTGTGCATTGTCCCCGCTTAGTTTCTGGGTCTCAATGCGTACAACAACCCTTGATTTCGCACCTAAACATATGATTGCCCACATGGAAGAATTGACATGCACTCCTCAGCAGTGTGGTTGTCATCAGGGCAAACAAAGCATGCATTACGCTCCGATACGCATCCTCACCTTCCAGGAACTTCCATGGATGACAGTCCGAAATTGGGTGGGGATAAGCACATGATGAGCAGAGCCTTGGAACATGGTCTGTGCCTGGCTTTGTTGATCAAGAGACCCGTGAAACTGGCTCATCCCAAAACTTGGTTGGTGTAAGTTAATGGCACACGATGGCGTCTTGCGTCCCCATTCCAGAACCATTTACCCAAACCGACATCGTGCAACCCTGGAACGCGTGTGCACAAGCTCTTCCAAGTCAGTAAACGTTGAATCCCGGCCAGTTGTTGATATTCTATCTGTCACATCAGCCCACTTATGCTGCAATTGTGAGGGGGGAACGCACTATGCTCTCTATGACCGCAAACGGTTGCAAAGCGGTTAACGCAATCTCACAAATCCGCATTTTGCACACAAGTTCGAGGGGAAGTTCGCTGTCTCGGTGGTTTATCGTCACAATCGGGACATGCTTTTAAGTAAAGTGAGCAACAATATCAGGCTGACCAAAAAATTACCTAGAATCTCCTGATCCTTGGAGTGTGCTATCTCCACTGGGAGCATTACACATTCAAAAATGGCTGCACTCACATTGTCTTGACAATGGTGGACCAAACAAAGAGTGTCTGACCGGTGTTCTCTTCTTTGCTCTCAACATGTGTCTCAAACTGGCGCGTCAACAACAATGGTGATTTAGATTGCCGTCAAAGTATGGTAGTTCAACCTTGGGTAGTTCCACAGTGACTATCGGCGGAATGATAGAAATGGCGAACTTAACCCCGGAGATGACCGCCTACTACCACCAGTGTGCTCAAGACGTCTGTCAATTATCTCACGGGATTTCCGGTTCTGTGTTAACCGGTCAGCTGTGGCTACTGGTGCCAATACTTTGATTGGTTTGTCCTCTTCGGCCTCCTGCTCCATCTTAGCCCCATCTTTTCTGTGCCTCACTGAGAGCTCGATGCAGTTCGACCTCTCAATTAAGCCGCCTTTCCGACAGGTGCGGAATCCTGAAGGCTTTCAAGGCTGCATTACTTTGTGACTAGATGTGGATACTGCTTTAGAAGAACCGGGGTGCGAAATAAGCTGTATTACAATATTTTCCCCCGCGGCGTCAATTGGTTCTACTGTGTCCTGGGCCCCGATTTTTGTTCACAAAGGTTCCAGGTTTTGGCGTGTTTATTCCAAATAGGATGGCGTAAGGGGTCAGTTAGTTTAAAGGCGGACGGTATCCCCGACTAATGAGTAATATCACAATCTCCGGGAGCGCAAAACAAAGTCGAAGCCAGGTTTTCATACGGTAAAGTTGACGCAGGACATCAGTTCATAAAATATACAAACCCCGACAACAGATGCGCATCCACCAAAAATGGACCACGTAAGATCAAAAATACGAAACCAATGATCAAACAGGCTGGGACGTGAGACTGTCACACGTGTATTTATTCGTTCGCACAATGGCCGTATGACCTCAAGTTCAAATGTGTGTGTGCGTACTAAGCACAAAAGTAGAGCTGTCTGATAGGGACATAAGAAACGAGAGGAATTCCATACGCCAAGTGGTATGTGATAACTTGTGTGTAATCTCGCCAAAAATGAATGATCAGAATAGCCGAAATTTAGCGTTTTCCGCCACTGCTTAAATTGTTTCCATCGGGCGTCGATCAATAGAAATTAAACTGTCCTCTATTTGACCAACATGATTTGGGTACCCCCAGTTAGGTTTGCTACAAGTCCACAGTTTTTGGCCTTTCAACGTGCGATTCGTATTCATCAGGTACAAAAATCCGTATTGCCACGTGTTTTAATCTATCATTGACTATCCTAACTCTGATTTGCTAAAAAA